AGTAGTCAGGACTAGCGGCAGGAGCTTGGGATTCCAGAACCGAAGCTAGGGATCAAAGCCAGTATTAGGGTCAAGAGTCAAGCTGAGGCTCAAGCCGGAGTCAGAGTCAGAAATTAAGCTGAGGGTCAGAGCCAGAGTCAGGAATCAGACTGAGGGTCAATACCAGGAATCGAGGTCCATGTTGGCGTTCTAGTGATCAGCTGGGAGTCAGACCCAAGCTCAAGACCAGAGGTTCATGAACAGAGAAGCAGAGCAGTCATGGCAGCTAGCAAGGGATGCACATTGTTGCCTGGACACTACCTGGTACATTCCATGGGTTTATATAGGGACAAGGAGCCAATTAGGGATCACTAAGACTACTGTCAGTCAGATCACTTGAGGTGGAACTTCCTGTGGTGTTGAACCTCTCTCTGTAGATTATAGGTCAGAGGTAGAAGCCAGCTTACAGCTACTACTGGGTGGCAGTGTGGGCCTGTTAGTTGCCTTGTAGCACTCCAGGCTTAGGTTCAAGTCCTACTGATCTCTACATCTAGCCAAAGAAGCCAACTTCTCACATCCTTATAATGAGGAATGGATTTGTGGTTTTGACTTGCACTGGCTCACAAGCCACAGCCACTATTGAAGACTTCAGAGCAGGGCTGCAGTAGAAGGAATGGTGGAACCAGAACCTTTCTGGAAGTTAGTGAAGGGTCATCCAGAGGTCATTGACCAGTCCAGTCAACCCTTCGTTGGTTAGTACAGCTACTCTACAAGGTGTCATGATTTTAATATATGAGACTTCTTTTGGACAGCTGTCAGTTCCAAGTCTAATACTGTAGCTTTAAGGGTTATCAAGTGTTGAAAGAAGCAGGGACCTAGTAATGGAGGAGATGTGGGGAAGTGGGATACCAGGAGAAAGCACGAGCAGAAGAGCGCATACTCCTGCCTCATACTGAGAAAGCAGGACAATCAGCGAGTTATCTTAAGTGTCTATACACAAATGCAAAAGTCGGGGAAACAAACAGGGAGGACTGGAAGTCCTGGCACAGTCAAGAAATTATGATGTGATGGAATAACAGAGACTTGGTGGGATAACTCACATGACTGGAGTACTGTCATGGATGGATATAAACTGTTCTGGAAGGACAGGCAGGGCAGAAAAGGTGGGGGAGTTGCATTGTATGTAAGAGAGCAGCATGACTGCTCAGAGCTCCAGTATGAAACTGCAGAAAAACCTGAGAGTCTCTGGATTAAGTTTAGAAGTGTGAGCAACAAGGGTGAGGTCGTGGTGGGAGTCTGCTATAGACCACCAGACCAGGGGGATGAGGTGGACGAGGCTTTCTTCAGGCAACTAACAGAAGTTACTAGATCACAGGCCCTGGTTCTCATGGCGGACTTCAATAACGCCGATATCTGCTGGGAGAGCAATACAGCAGTGTACAGACAATCCAGGAAGTTTTTGGAAAGTGTAGGGAATAATTTCCTGGTGCAAGTGCTAGAGGAACCAACTAGGGGCACAGCTCTTTTTGACCTGCTGCTCACAAACAGGGAAGAATTAGTAGGGGAAGCAAAAGTGGATGGGAACCTGGGAGGCAGTGACCATGAGATGGTCAAGTTCAGGATCCTGACAAAAGGAAGAAAGAAGAGCAGCAGAATACGGACCCTGGACTTCAGAAAAGCAGACTTTGACTCCCTCAGGGAACTGATGGGCAGGATCCCCTGGGAGAATAACATGAGGGAGAAAGAAGTCCAGGAGAGCTGGCTGTTTTTTAAAGAATCCTTATTGAGATAGCAGGAACACACCATCCCGACGTGTAGAAAGAATAGTAAATATGGCAGGTGACCACCTTGGCTTAACAGTGAAATCCTTGCTGATCTTAAACACAAAAAAGAAGCTTACAAGAAGTGGAAGCTTGGACAGATGACCAGGGAGGAGTATAAAAATATTGCTCAGGCATGCAGGAGTGAAATCAGGAAGGCCAAATCACAACTGGAGCTGCAGCTAGCAAGGGATGTTAAGAGTAACAAGAAGGGTTTCTACAGGTATGTTAGCAACAAGAAGGTGGTCAGGGAAAGTGTGGGCCCCTTACTGAATGGGCGAGGCAACCTAGTGACAGAGGATGTGGAAAAAGCTAAAGTACTCAATGATTTTTTTGCCTCTGTCTTCACGAACAAGGTCAGCTCCCAGACTATTGTACTGGGCAGCACAGTATGGGGAGGACGTGACCAGCCCTCTGTGGAGAAAGAAGTGGTTCAGGACTATTTAGAAAAGCTGGACGAGCACAAATCCATGGGGCTGGATGCACTGCATCCAAGGGTGCTAAAGGAGTTGCAGAGCCATTGGCCATTATCTTTGAAAACTCATGGCGATTGGGGGAGGTCCAGGGTGACTGGAAAAAGGCTAATGTAGTGCCCATCTTTAAAAAAGGGAAGAAGGAGGATCCGGGGAACTATAGGCCAGTCAGCCTCCCCTCAGTCCCTGGAAAAATCATGAAGCAGGTCCTCAAGGAATCAATTTTGAAGCACTTCGAGGAGGGGAAAGTGATCAGGAACAGTCAGCATGGATTCACCAAGGGCAAGTCATGCCTGACTAACCTAATTGCCTTCTATGATGAGATAACTGACTCCGTGGATGAGGGGAAAGCAGTGGACATGTTATTCCTTGACTTTAGCAAAGCTTTTGATACGGTCTCCCACAGTATTCTTGCCAGCAAGTTAAAGAAGTATTGGCTGGATGAATGGACTATAAGGTGGATAGAAAGCTGGCTAGATCATCGGGCTCAACGGGTAGTGATCAATGGCTCCATGTCTAATTGGCAGCCGGTATCAAGCGGAGTGCCCCAAGGGTCAGTCCTGGGGCCAGTTTTGTTCAATATCTTCATTAATGATCTGGAGGATGGCGTGGATTGCACCCTCAGCAAGTTTTCAGATAACACTAAACTGGGAGGAGTGGTAGATATGCTGGAGGGTAGGGATAGGATACAGAGGGACCTAGACAAATTTGAGGATTGGGCCAAAAGAAATCTGATGAGGTTCAACAAGGACAAGTGCAGAGTCCTGCACTTAGGACGGAAGAATCCCATGTGCTGCTACAGACTAGGGACTGAGTGGCTAGGCAGCAGGTCTGCAGAAAAGGACCTAGGGGTTACAGTGGACGAGAAGCTGGATATGAGTCAACAGTGTGCTCTTGTTGCCAAGGTGGCTAACAGCATTTTGGGCAGTATAAGTAGGAGCATTGCCAGCAGATCGAGGGACGTAATCATTCCCCTCTATTAGGCATTGGTGAGGCCTCATCTGGAGTGCTGTGTCTAGGTTTGGGCTCCACACTACAAGAAGGATGTAGAAAAATTGGAAAGAGTCCAGTGGAGGGCTGGAGCACATGACTTACGAGGAGAGGCTGAGGGAACTGGGATTATTTAGTCTGCAGAAGAGAAGAATGAGGGGGGATTTGATAGCTGCTTTCAACTACCTGAAAGGAGGTTCCAAAGAGGATGGATCTAGACTGTTCTCAGTGGTACCAGGTAACAGAACAAGGAGTAATGGTCTCAAGTTGCAGTGGGGGAGGTTTAGGTTGGATATTAGGAAAAACTTTTTCACTAGGAGGGTGGTGAAGCACTGGAATGGGTTACCTAGGGAGGTGGTGGAATCTCCTTCCTTACAGGTTTTTAAGGTCAGGCTTGACAAAGCCCTGGCTGGGATGGTTTAGTTGGGGATTGGTCCTGCTTTGAGCAGGGGGTTGGACTAGATGACCTCCTGAGGTACCTTCCAACCCTGATATTCTATGATACTGTATCCTCAGGAGAGGATGAAGACTGTCTCTCTAGAGGCACTCTAACAAATAGGATCTTCTTCAATATCTTCCTCTTCTGAGGTTCCATAGATTTAGATTGGAAGGCAGATGAGACTTTCTTTTGTGATACCTCAGAAGTGAATGGAGGAGATGTATATTTTGTGGCAGGATAGTCCTTGGTCTTAACAGAAAGCCTTTTGCTAGGTGTTGGTGTCCTAGGCTGACCAGCTCACAATGGCTACAGTGTCTATGGAGCACAGATAAGAAAATTGTTAAGATCCCATTAAACCTTAGACTCTAGAGGAACCAAAGGGAAGCCAGTCTGTATCCAAAAAACTCAGTCTCCACCATCATTCCAGAAGCAGAAGTCAGAACTGAGGGAGGAAGCTGGAGATCCTCACTGGACCACCCTAAGGCTGCAGACTCTATGCAGGGATGCAAGTGGCCTGAAGTGAAAATGTAAGTGGTATCATGGCGGAATTTCACCCTTTGTGAATCTAGTGCTTATTGGGGGTGCCAAATTGTTAGTGCTGGAGACCAAGTCCTTGTTTATCCACAAAAGCAGAGGAAGAATACAGGCAGACTGCTGAAGCTTCCCCATATTACCCCAATTCTGACCAAAGCAGGGTTTAAAATTGCAAGTGAAAAGGTCCTACTACCAATCTCTTAAATCATCCCACCCCCATCAAAAATTATTTAGACCAAAAGAAAAGAAATTGAAACAAACAGAGCCCCAAATATACCCTCAAGGTAACACCCACAATATGGTGCAAGTGTCACTAAAGATCAGTTTTTACATTTAGCAATCGACTGCTAGTAACATTTTGTGCTTGTATAGCACCATATATATGAAGTTCTCAAAATGCATTACAAACATTAATGAAGTCTTAACACACACCTTTGAGATAGGTAATATTTTATTTTGAGATAGGAAAAGTGAGGCATGGAAATTGTTAGTTGTCAGTTCACACAAGACATCTGTGGCATAAACAGGAACTGAACTCCCGTCTTCCAGTTCTGAGTCCCATGTCATAGCCAAAAGACAATCCTTCCTCCCCTTTGATAGGTCTTTTAGGGCTAGTCACATGTGTGCACTGTGTAATTCTCCAGCCACTGAAACAAGACTATAATCCTACATTACATAATGTGCATATCCATATATGATTAAACATACGGCAAGTTTCATAAACACAGAAAAATTAAAGAAATGAAAGAAAGCAGAAGAGCTTACCCAAATCCAGAAAATAAGCGACAGAAGAGAAAGAGGCCATAGCCCTGGACAAATGATGACAGGAAGGCAAAGAATCCATTGACAGACATGCATATCAGGAGAGACTGCCTCCTTCCCACCTTGTCTGCCAAGCCTCCCCAGAAGAATGCCCCCAACATCATCCCAAGGTACACTATGCTACCTGCAACACACAGAAAACAAGATGTTACTTTGTGAGCTACACAACTGACGTCAATTGACCAAAAATTAATCATAACATACTAGAGTATTTTTCCAGCAAACTTTTTAACTTGTGAAATTACAGAACAGGAAGTAATTTTGTCCCCTATCTGCTTATGAGTGAGTTAGGTGTATAAATTGCAAATGCATCTGTGGAAGAATAGACACCCTATTGTGAGCCTTAATATATTATTAAACTAGGTGCCTCTAGCTATAGGCAGATGAGTAAGAAGTGGAGAAAAAGTTCCAGCTATCCCACAGCAGAAACACTGCATGCACCATAACACTGCAAAAATTGAAATCTGCCCTACAGAAATGCATTGCTGGAAACCTATTAAAAACAAGCAGTTATGTGTGGGATCATTAGCCACCAGTAGTTATTAGACTAAGCACAATTTGTTTTTAAGAATTAAGATACAAATGAATGGTAGTTATCAGAGTGCAGCAGTATTGAAGAACTACCACTTTGTTGTTTCTCTCTTTTTCTATAATACAGTCTGTGCCAGGCATGGCCAAACGGTGGTTCATGAGCCGCATGCAGCTCTTTTACAGTTAAAATGCGGCTCCCAGAGCCCCCTATGCATCCCCCCTCCATTCTCCGCCTACAAGACTGGGAACGGGGGAGCTTGGGGCTTCTGCTCTGCGGCAGTGTTGTGGGATGAGGGGTTTCTTCCCTGCGGCAGGGTGATGGGATGAGAGGCTTCTGCCCTGCAGGGAGGTGAGTTTAAGGGCTTTAGCCCAGTGGGGGTCATCGGGGCAAAAGCTCAACACCCTGGCAGGCATTGCCCCATGGGGCAGGTTGTGTGCATCTTGCAGCTCTCGAACTTCTAAAGATTATTGTATGCGGCTCGGAGGGTCAGGAAGTTCGGCCCTCCTGGTCTGTGCTTTCCTCAAATAGTATTGTCCTGAACAAAAGACAACACTTGAACAACACTGCTTTAAACGAACTTTTTAAACATGGCCAAGCACATTAAAAGAACACAGTGAAAAATTCTTTGTGGATGTTATAATAAAGTGATGCTGTATTAAATTTACAATTAAGTGCATGATATTGATAAAAAAATTGGAGCCTTCAAACTCGCCAGTAAATTCACTTCAAACTAAAGAAAAGGAGAACTGTCAGGATAAAAATCATATTTAAAAAAATCTTTAGCTACATTACTGTCATCATCTTAGAGTATAAAAATTGACAAGTTAATGTAAATAGCTTTCAGAAATCTAGGTTGGTTTTTTTACTCCTTGCACTTCTCTCTACTTGGACACTTCTCTCTACTTGGACAATAGCCTACTTCGTTTCTAGTCAATTTCATTTTCAGGTTCTAATGCACTAGGACAATGCTGCAAGGGTATTTTATTTTAGTTTGTTTGTTACATTTCATATCAACACTTATTAGTCTCAGGTTTTGTAAAATACACACACATACTATATACAAATTTTTGGCCAAATGTGACCTTACAGTGCCCATTATTTCACAAATGTGGATCAGACAAATGACATTTCAGTCACACACGTTTAGCAAAACTATCTCAATATTGACATTACCATTTCATGCAAGATACGTACATTATCCTGTTTCACTGGTTAAAAAGGTCTTGAGTTTGACTGTTAGAAACTTAACAGCTTAGTGCAACATAACTCAAAAGTCAGAACAGTTTGTGTGAAATCATAGTACAATTATAAATCTTAGTTTGCAGTCTCAGAGAGTGCTATCCAACAAAGTAAATCTGACTGGTAAAGGCAGTGACTTTCCCTGAGCTCTGCCCAGGTCAAATCAGATTTTTATTTTGTTTTTGCTGCTTATTTTAACCTATCTGCTGTTCCTTCTCTCCACCTCCCACATGCTTACCAAAATTCCTGGTTGGACATCACTCATCTAATGGCTGCTGCCCTATTACATGTCCTATACAGAACAGGAGCTTAAAAGGAGAATAGCTGGAAGCAGGTTATTAGTTAGAAAGTCCTGCTCCCCCTCTTTGAATTGGATAATGAACAGTAAAATAAAAATATCAGGATAAGCATTATCCATTCATTGTTTGTGAACCCAATATCCTCTACAGAGTAGCTAATGTCTGATGATCTCTCTGAGGGTTGATTTTGCATTTAGAACTCTGAGTTAGCTGTAAGAACTGAAAAATCACAAGTAGGCTGAGAACTCCCTGAAGTAAACATTTAAGAGGGTTGCATTGTCTATTCCAGAATATGCATGTGATATTTTTCACTTATGAAAGATAAGCCACCTATCGCGGTTCAGAAACAAGTATATAAATGATCATGGATCATGTGAAATATTCAAGACTTGTCACCATGGAACAAACGGGCCCCAGTACATTTTTTTAATATAAACATAGCCTCCATTTCCAGGATTTGTATTTATTCATTCTCAGTGACGCAAACAAAAAACATTCACTTCTCCAGTCTGAGAGCCGCACTTCTTGCTTGTACACATCATACCCAGATTAATGCACCATTTAAATAGAAACATTTGGCCTGTATCCTCCTGAGCAGACTGCTCTTGTGGAGCTGTTCCTGTCTCTCAGTTTTATGGAAAAGGAACCAGCCTTTCTTATTCCCTCATCAGGATAATGAGTTTCATATGCTCCAGTTATCTGGGTCAAAAAGAACACTGACCCTTCCTCAGGCTAGACAAGTTGAGAAGGAGGAAAGTAGCCGCAACCCCTTAATCATTAATGGTGTCCTGTACCAATGCTCCAGCTTTTCTATAGCTACTTAGGTTTTTGCCAAATATAAAACAGGGACAGGATGTTTCTGGCCCAAGAGGGTCTTCTCCATGAGTGCCAAAAGGCCTGTGTACATATGACAGGTTCATTGCTGTTCAGCCCTGAGATTGGTAACCCTCCCAGTATGAAGGCAGAGTGCCAGCTTCCCTCAAAAAAGCAGTAGTTAGGTGCCTTCTCAAGATCTCTCTTGATGCTGGTAATCTTGCTAATTACCAGTGTGCCTCTCACCTTCCTTTTTGGGGGAAGATTGAGAATGTGGCAAGGGAGTTAATTCTGGAATCTTTTAGTGTCGTCAGATTTCCCTGATCCTTTTTGATTTAGAGTTTGGCCGAGGAATGGCTTAGAGCCTGCACTGCTCTCCCCGGCTGATGATTTCCTAGTGATGGGCAAGGAGTCCACATCCAGTGATTTTATTACATCTGTTAGCATCTTTTTATACTATAAAGATGGGGTTTTCTTAACTAGCATATACACAGTTCATAGTGGGGTAGATGGTATGGCTCAAGTATTTCTGGTCTCTAAGAAATCTCCATGGATGATTTGGAACAATTACCTGAGTTCTCTCTTGCATGTAGGGAATTATTGCATTACTCTTTAGATGGGCGTCTCTTGAAGCTTACTTGGAAATCACAAATGGAGGAAAATGTGATGGTTTTCCTGCTTAATAGCATTAGCTGCAGGAAACATATTAGACCTATTTTGACAACTGCTTTGTCACTATATCCATTTCAGGGGGCAGCTCAATTGGTTGAATTTTATACTTGAAACCCTAAATGATTTGAGTCCAGGCTGTCAGAGACCACATCTTTCCATGCTCGTTGAGGTTAGTTGCTGTAGTATTTCAAGTGTTGGAAGGCCAATGGTGCACAATTCACCTCTTTTCCCAGATTTATTCTTGAGGATGGTAGGATGGATTGGGTGTATGTTTTTTTTTTTTTTGGAAATCTCTTTTTTCCTTTGCTTCTCAGGCAAATAGTATGTGCTTTATTAAACATAAGTCTTCCTTTGTAGTGCATAAAAAGGCACAATAGGGCAGCCCTAAGCAGAGCTTATTCTTCTTCTCCAACCCTCCTCTGACTATCATTGCTATGGCTAATACCACCATGATCCCCATCACTCAGGGTCACAAACTTGGGATCTCTTGATGGACTCATCCCTCTTCTCCTCATGCAGACACACAGTTTCCAAGTCTTGCAATTCCAAAAATATAAACCTTCCTCTTTGTCTCAATAGCTAAAACCATTGTCCATACCCTGGCCATGAACTCTGCTTTAGTCTGTCTCTTACCCACATTGCTTCCCTGAACTGCATTCAAAATACAGTTGCGAAAATCATCTCTCTCAGCTGTCATTCAGCCCATGTCATTCCCCTCTGAATCCCTTCCCTAGTTCCTATTTTACTATCTCATAATTGCCTTCAAAGTCCTACATAACTCCTCCCTAGTCAGCTTTCATTTCTATTTCTGTCAATGATACCTAGTTTCAAAGCACCTTCCTGTCTTCCCCTCCTTTCTCTTCTTTGCACTTCCTTCTGTGTGGCCCCCTTTACACTGAACACACTTCCAACCCCAAACAACCAAGTCCACTTCCTCTCTTCTTTCAAATCACTCCTCAAGACTAACTTTTTTTCTGCAATGTCCACAATAAGCAGTGAAAGCAACAAAGATACAAAATTCTACAGAACAATTGATGTAGCAGAATCATCATATAACAATCAGATAACCACATCATTTTAACCTCCATCCTCCCTTTTCCCCAATCCACATATATCCAAGAGTTCATTGCTCTTGTTTGTCACTTCATGTCAATAACAACAGTGTAAATGGCTTAGGGCAGAGCATGTCTCTTTTATTTACTTTATAAATCACTTACCACACTTGATACATTTCATATAGAATTTTAGATGTCTAAAAAATAATGTGTAAAACACCCCTCTTTTGGACAACCCATGCTCCCTTTCACAGGAACTTTAAAAGCACAGGCCACCACCTTAGATAAATGTACACCTCAAGACCTAACATGTCATGTGGAAGACAGCAGAATTCTGGTAATTGCATATTTGAGCACACTGCAGCTGGTACCACAGCTTGTTCCATTTTTTGGTGCTATGACTTATGGATCTGAGATAAGAATCAAGCCTTTAAAGAACATGCGTGCTGTTGCTATCTGACATGCATATTAGGTTAGACACTGGTCTCAGAGACCTCTAATGACAATTGTTTTC